GCACGAGAGGGAAGAGGGTCAGAGGGAGAAGCAGACTCCCTGCTGAGCAGGGAGCCCGATGTGGGACTCGATCCCGGGACCCCAGGATCATGACCCGAGCCGAAGGCAGTCGCTTAACCAACTGAGCCACCCAGGCGCCCGAGTTGATATATTTCTTAAGACTCTTCTCTCCTGACAAGGCGAAAGCAGCTGTGGTCAGTGGTGAGCGGGACGCAGCATGGCGCTGACAGTGCAGTTTGGGGTAGTTCGCATCTGACGGCCTTACGTTTCCTTTTCATGTCTAAGCAGAGGAAATTTGAACCTCTGATACCAGTTTGAACAGATAACTTATTCATTCCTACTCTGTAAAGGACTGGCTGTTTTCCTAGCAGTTGCATAGTTCTTACAATTAACCTACTTGGGTAAAGATCAACAAAACCAGGATAATTCAGGTCCTAACAGAAAGCTGTTTCTCCAGTGAGATCCTTGCATTGAGGGAAGATGCACTCCGGAGTAGTGACTTAGAAGCTAGAAAGGTAATGATAGATTTTCTCAGTATGAAAAGATGGAATCTGACGGTGGCATCGTGTTATATAAATTCTGTACCGTAAGACCATGAGTATAAAAACAGCCAACTAAATTGCTAAAATTTAATGGAATTTAAGGTCCTCCTTAAAGCTTAAAGCTTGGTTTAGGAAACTAGTAACTAGATTATACATGGAATAAGAACTAGAGTTTATTTACTCCATTGAGCTTTATAGCTAACAACTATAAAAAATCAATTAATGGCCTGTGGGCAAACCTGACTCACTGTTTTTGTAAAGGAACTTCTATTGGAGCACAACCACGCCCAACATTTACAAATTTCCTTGGCTGCTTTGTCCATAACTGCAGAGTTGAGTAGTCCTGACAGAGACTGTTTTGCCCACAAATCTGATCTATTTTACTACTTTATAAAACATGTTTGCCGACCTCTCTTCTGTCTCCTTACTGATTTGTCTACTTGTTCCACTAATGAGAGTTTAGCACTGTGATGGACTTGTCTCTCTCCATTAATTTGCACGTATGTAGGAGCTTTGTTGTTAGGTGCATACACACTCAGGACTGCTGTGTCTTTTTGATGCATTGGCTGTCTGATAGTTCAAGAGACGGCTTTTAGTTTCAACCTGTTTTTCTACGTGTTCAAAGTTTTCTTTCTTTCTTTTTTTTTTTTTTAAAGATTTTATTTATTTATTTGAGAGAGAGAATGAGAGATAGAGAGCACGAGAGGGAAGAGGGGAGAGCACGAGAGGGAAGAGGGTCAGCAGACTCCCTGCCAAGCAGGGAGCCCGATGTGGGACTCGATCCTGGGACTCCAGGATCATGACCTGAGCCGAAGGCAGTCGCTTAACCAACTGAACCACCCAGGCGCCCTCAAAGTGTTTTCTATAATCACTTCATGGGCAGGCCTTTTTTTGGGGGGGGGGGGTCTAGTCTCTGCCTTTTACCTGGGGTGCTTAGCCCATTTGATTTTAATGGAACCATCGATATGTTTGTATTTAATTTGACAGTTTTGATGTTTGTTTTCTATTAGTCCCCCTACTTTTCTTCTTTTCCTGCCATTTCTTGATGAATCAGGTGTTTGTACTGTTTCCTCTTATCTTCTCTGTTGACTTTATATTGTCCTTTGTGTAATTGTTTTAGTGGTTTCATTTTAGTATGCATATTTAACTCATCAATCTCCCTAGGAAATTATGGTATGCCTGTGCATCCTAAGAGTCTTGTAACAATGTTCTTCCGATCAGCATTCTCCTACTGTGTGCTGTTATTCTATATCTTACTGCTACATAAACTAAAAATCTCAAGATACATTTTTTAAAAGATTTTATTTATTCATTTGAGAGAGAATAAGCAGGAGGGAGAGGGAGAGGGAATCTGAAGCAGTCTCCGCACTGAGCACAGAGCCTGACGCAGGGCTGGATCTACGATCCTGAGGTCATGACCTGAGCTGAAACCAAGAGTCAGACACTTAACCAACTGAGCCACCCAGGCGCCCCAAGATACATTTTATTTTAACCAGTCAGTAATCATTTGTCTATATCACAAATGCATTCACAACATTTAAGATGTGAGAAACAGAGCTATTTCAAACATAATGATGATTGGACTTTAATATCCAAATTTGTATTATGAATCCTCCAGAGGGCATATGGAAAGGCTGTTTAGAAGTACTGTGTAGTTACACCTGAGTCGAGTCCTATGATGGCCGAGAAGTAGACGAGAGACAGTATGGGATGTATGAAGGTGGATGGAGTGAGGAGGAGATATAGGGGGTGGGATCAGGAAACAAAGGCATAACCCTCCCCCCAGCCCCACCCCTTCCAGAGCAGGGTTTTGGATTTAGATTTTCCAAGGAGCCATTTGCATGTGGAGTTCATTTGCCACTAATGGATGACTTTAAACTTGTAAGGTTGGTGATGAGGGGCATAACTCCAGGCAGAGCCCCTTACGTGGGTCCAGACCAACATTACTGCACTGTGGGTGATCCTCCGGAGGACACTGGCAGTGCTGGGGAGGGGGTACTGCTGGGATCTGCTGGGTGGAGGCCAAGGGTGCTGCTGAACACCCTGCAGTGTGAAGGATGGCCCACAGCAAGGGATTATTCAGTCCAGGATGTCGGTCATGCTGAGACGGAGAAAACCCGATCCTGGATGATTAACTACAGCCAGTTAGACCTGCATAAAGACACATTATTTACAGAGAGTGCTACTGCATTAAAGGCTGTCTGACAAAAGGTTTGTTGAATGTTTTTATCTTTTCACTTCTGTCCGATGAATAATATACCCCTGTCTACAATAATAATCATAATTACTGTAGATATTTCAACAGTTAATAAAAACCATTCTTTTGAGTTTCTGGTCGAAAACCCACAGTGGTATAAAACAAGTTATTTAGCCTATCTCAGTCTCAGTTTAGAAATTACTGATTTGGAACTTCTTTTTAGGTTTCTAATATGGAAGAGCTCACCACCCCCGAGGTTCTTTCAGACCTCCCACCATTTTCAAGGTGTTTAATAGGAATCATAATGAAGTCTCCGGATGTGATCAGGTAACCATGTTCTCTTTACTGTCCTGAGATTCTCCTTGTGACTAGAAGAAGCTCTCAGTAGATTTTGCTTATATTCCTTCAGCTCTCAAAATTTCTCAAAGGTGCTTTTTTTCCCCTGAGAAAAATGTTTCCTAGAATTTTCTCTCATCAGCAATTAAAAATAGTTGCATTTTTAAAAAATTCTGTATTACACTTCTACAAAGAGAAATTCAAACTTTTTGTCAAATACATCCATCCGAAAAGTCCCTGGTTATGCTTATCATAACTAAAATTCAGCTAGAGGGGAACATTTAAAATGTCACTGTGTGGTATGGTGATTAACATAACAATAAAAAATTATTTAAATCTAAAAAAAAAAAATGTCACTGTGTAGTACAATACTTCTTACTAAGGGTACTCCGAACACCTGCCTGGCTTCAATGCCAGTGTGGCTTCTTGGCACATGCTGCTGCTGGTGTGTCACTTGGTTGAAGCCCAGGGTTTGCTGTGGCACACTCAGGACTGGTGGAGTAGAGAAGGAAAGGTTTCGCAGTTGTCTGATACCTGAGGGGCTGCAGTAGTAGATACAGTCCATGAAAACGTTAAAAGCTAGAACTCATGGTAGTTGATGAATCTTGGCTATCTTAGTCTTTTTATAAAGTGTGAGCATATATACTATAGAATAATTACAGATCTTTATTAATTTTTTTTGCAGGTCATTTTTAGATGAGTTAAAGGCATGTGTTACTTCTGATGATATTGAAGGCATTGTGTGTCTCACAGCTGTTGTGCATATTATTTTGGTTATTAATAAAGGTTGGTAAACTTTCTCTTCTACCGTCCGGGGTATTGCTGGGTGTGATCTTATACAGAACTGTTACAGGGTGTTTGAGAACTCGGTTCCTTGCTGGGTGTGGTCTCATACAGAACTGTTACAGGGTGTTTGAGAACTCGGTTCCTTGCTGGCTGTGGTCTCATACAGAACTGTTACAGGGTGTTTGAGAACTCGGTTCCTTGTCGCCATGTCCCCTGCCAGTCAGACTCCCCCAGCTCTTGCAGCCTGTCGGCCCATGCTCTGAGCACACGCCATCTGCTGGGCTCCCTCTGCTCAGCTCACCCTGCACTAGCCTAGAAACCAGTCCTGTCCACCTGTCACCTTTCCCCACTGGACCCATTACGTGTCCCTCTTGTCATGTGTTCCCTGTACTTAAAAATCTGAATTTATTTTTGCTAATGATGGTGTGTTTTTGGTGTTAATACTTAATGTATCTGCTTTTTTACTTAAGCCTTATACTTGCGTGTTTTGAATATCCCAGCCAGTTGAAATAGTACTGGAAAAGTAGTTGGAGATACCTGTAAAATGCTCACCTCAGTGTAAAATGCAGTAATGTCTCTGCGTATTACTGTTAAGTTTCTGTATTTTTTACTCAGTTTTACTAATGTTGAAATCATTTTCTAAGATGTAACGTATTATAGACAAAGAGTGCTCCTATTAAAACAAGCTCTGCCCGTAAGCTCTAATGCATGGCGTGTCTACGGGTTTAGGATAATACTTTGTGACTAGTGTTACCCATGCTGGACATCAGAAAAGACTTCTCTAAGGGACTTTCACCTGAGTTGAGGTCTGGAGAATGAGGGGACATTCCCCATGTGAAGGAGTGAGGGTGGGAGGTATGGTGCTGATGAGCACCTAGTACTTAATAGGTACTTACATTTGTGCCACACAGTGATGATGCTGGAAGATGGTAGTTGTTATCTGTGATGGAGTCCAGGTGAGGATCAGGTCTCTCATGGCATAGACAGAACTCACGGGATCATGTGCATTGGAGCTGTCCCTCAGAGCTAATGAGGTGCTTCCGAAAACGTCTGCTTGATCTTCTCACGTCCCTTTCGGGGACGATTACTATTGCATAGGTCAATGGGTGGATTAACTCGAAGGGTGGGGGGCTCAGTCTTGCTGCACTTGTACCATACTGATAGCAGAGTATGCTTGCGCTAACACTGCAGTGGCAGCATTCAAGTCTTTTCTCTGTCTTTACTGTAACTTTCCCGTAGGTAAACAGAGGAGTTCAAAAGTGAAGGATGTTGCAGCCACTGTTCACAGAAAACTGAAGACGTTCATGGAGATTACTCTGGACGAGGACAGCACAGAGAGGTAAAGCACTAGATGCGCCCAGATGGATTCTTCTGAGAGCTCTGCTGCTCTGTAGGTACATTTTAGATCCTGTTCTCATTGCTGCTACTTAACAGCCAGGCAGTGAGAAAACATGCTTGTAAGCACAGAAACGTCTCTGTTGGAAAACCCCTTGAGCGTATGTTTAATTTACTCCCTAATTTGTCTTCAAAAACAAAAACAAAATTGTCATCTGGTAAATTCTACTCCAGAAAAATAAAGACATACAAACTTATTTTATATGGTTTTAAAACTAGACAAATTATTTTGGGTGGTTTGCTATGTTTTTGAAACCATAGGCTTCAAATTTCTAAGACATAATTGCCCAGTCCCCAGGCATCCATAATGAGGATGGTTCCTCCAGACTTTGGAAGAAATACTCGTCATTTCTTGCTTTCTGGGTGGCCCGTTGCTGCCACAGGGACTGCTCTGAGGAAGGTGTTCACTGGGCTCCTCCGGCCGAGTGCCTTTGTTAGGTTTGATGTCTGACAAGCTGTACAACTTCCTGCAGACTCTGCTGTTAGCTGTGTTTGATTCTCAGATCAATAGCAAAAGCAGTGTTTTTCTTACTGTTTTGTGAACTTCATAATGTTAAGTGTTAACAGAGCTCTGAACTAGGTCGTAGTTTTATGTATGCCTGGGAAAGTAGCCACTTTTCTTAGCTACTTTCTCCCTTGTAGAAAGGCTTCGAAAACCCTAAATTGCTAATTTATGAACAAATTTTCTCTCTTCTCTGTTTACCTTTTCTTTCCTTTTCTCACTGCATTATCTAGGACTTCCAGTGCAGTGTTGAAAAGCAGTGATGAGAAGGGGCATCCTCGCCTTGTTCCTGATCTTAGTGGGAAAACTTCTAGTTTCTCACCATTAAGTTTGACATGAGCTGCCGATATTTTGTGGATGTTCTTCATCAAGTTGAAGAAGTTCCCTTCTGTTCCTAATTTACTGAGACTTTTTATCATGAATGGGTGTTGGATTTAGTCAAATGCTTTTTTCTGCATCTACTGATGTGATCATACGCTGTTTCTTCTTGAGTCTTGTGATGGATTACACTCAGTGGTTTTTGAATGTTGAACCAGCCTTGCATACCTAGAATAAATCCCAGCTGGTGGTGGTAAATATTTTATACACTGTTATTAATTGTATGCAGTCGATTGATGGTGCTGTTGAGTTCAACTGTGTTCTTAATGATTTTCTGCCTACTGGATCTGCATTTCTGATAAGAAGGATTTTGCTTATCTTTTGTGATCCTGATATTAGGTGCATATGAATTTAGAACCCCTATATCTTCTTGATGAATTGACCCTTTTATTTTTATGAAGGGTCTCTCTTTATCTCTAGTAATGCTTTACCCAGAAAGTCCGTTTTGTCTGGTATTAAGACAACTGTACCAGCCTCCTTTAGCAAGTGTTTCCTGGGTATTTGTGGCATTCCAGTTAGAAGGCAGAAACCACACAGTGACTAGGACGGGAAAATCTCAATGTCAAAAATTCTTATCAGGGCGCCAGTGTAACGAACTATCGGCTAGTGAGAGTTAAAGCGAACTCCAAAGCAGAGAGGAAAGGCAGATGTGAGGAGCACCTCTGTTCCTAGGGACAGTGCACACCCCAGGACTGAGACCGTTCCATGGATGGAGAAGTCCTGAGGCCTTCTGATGGGACTCACTGGAAATCCAGTCTCCAGGAGGCAGGGGAGGTGCCAGGGGAGCTGCTGGAACCAAAGCTGGGGCCCTCTGCCAATCTTGTGAGCTTCCGTGTGCTGTTGTAGTCAGGTAGCTGCTGGCTGGACAGCCGCCCTGGGGGGCCTGGTGGAGACAGTCACCTGGGGTGCCGCTTTTACTGTTGGGGTCTCCTGGAGAAGGCTGGGTCTCTGCAAAGCCTGTGGTCTCTGCAGTGGTCAGAACCAGGAAGAGAAAGCCCCCATGGACCAGGGCATTGACTTGGGCACTAGGGCAGGTAGAGGTTTGCATGACCTTGTTGTGAGCAAAGGGAATGAGTTCAACTATATACTTCATCCTAGAAAGTATTGAATATTTACCAGGCGGTTTTAATAAAGTTGGGTTTGCAACTGTATATTTGAAGGAGAAACCCAACAGACTCTTAGGTTTTATGAGCTTATTTATTTCTAGACACTATGGGGAAGAGGGAAGTGATCTTCTGAGTTGGAGGAAATGAGTGTTTGTATTTCAGAAAACACATGGCAGTGTAAATATTTTTAGCAGGCACATCAGAATTATAACCTATATAAATGATAAGTTATTTTCATAGGATATAACAATCTCAGAAGTCCAGGCATTTTTGTGAAAGATTTTATTTATTTATTTATTTATTTAGTGTGAGCTGGGGGAGGGGCAGAGGGAGAGGGAGAATCTTGAGCAGACTCCATGCCCAGCCCAGAAGCCCAATGTGGGGCTCGATCCCATGACCCTGAGATCATGACCCAAGCTGCAATCAGGAGGCGGACGGAGCCACCCAGATGCCCCAGAAGTCCAAGCATTTTACAGGATTTCTTTGTTCTTAGAAATAACATTTGCAAGGATAAGTTTTTTTGGGTGTAGAATGGTATGTATATACTATTGTGAAGATGTAAGGGAACAGGGACATTTGCTCCTTCTTAGAAATTTCTATTATTCCCACTTGCACAGAGTTTTAAGCTGAGTACTTGAATCGTGTTAGTTATATTGAGAGGGAAAAAAAGGCCTTAGAAGTTCAAAACTGGGGGCCCCTGGGTGGCGAGGTCAGTTAAGGGTCTGACTCTTGGTTTCGGCTCAGGTCATGATCTCAGGGTCTTGGGATCGAGCTTCATGTTGGGCTCTGTGCGGATATTTAATAGCTGATATACAGATGGCAAAAAGAGTTCTTCCCTTTAAGGTGGAAACATCTTAAGAAAATAGGACTGGACCATGAAACTCGGGCTCCCTAAATGTGCAAGAACCACACTATAGAAAACCAGCGTCTAAAACAAAATCAATCTAATGGAAAATAGACAACATTTAAGACTAAATTGAAAATATTACTGATTTGATGTTGGGGTAGAGACATTAAGGCAAGTTAACATCTTTAAGACTCTGGGAACCCTTTGGTCCAGTTAATATTTTAGGCAATGGGGCATTAATTCAGAAATGAACGTTTTCTTGACGAATACACTACTTTTCTCTCTAGCAGTGTTAGTATTCTGTTAACTGGTCTGTTGGGTGCTAAATAAAAAATGCTTCTCATTGCACTTTAATTGCCTCACCTAATATAGCTGTAAATTGGACATATTTTCTCAGGAGGAATGGCATACATTTGCCAGCATGCTGGTGCATTTAAATGTCAAGTATGTTATATTTATTACTTTCATAAATAGTATGAAAATAGCAATAAATTTATAATTAGAAATTTTAGAAGTATAAATATTTCCTGTGGTTCAGGTTATATCATGAATTTTTCCCTCTGAGTAAATGGAATGTAATCATAAGCAAATTACTTGCCAATATTAATTATGCCTATGTGTAGGCAACTTTGGTAGTGTTCTGGGCAACCCGCAACATTAAACCTTGTTATTAGACCTTGAAGGAAAGGCGTTCTCCCTGACAAAATCACCTCTTTTTGGTTATCAAGTACTGATGAATAATACCATTTTATTCTGCATGAAATTTTAATAGTCTTTTTAAAATGATTTTGGGACTGGATGCTTTTTATAGCTCATTTAGAAGCATGCTTCCATCATCATCAATGCCTAGTGGACATTGGTGTAGATAAATTAAAGTTAGATGTAAATAAAAACAGACATTGTTTATCTTATTGATGTTTTTCTCAGAAAATTGATTTTGTCTGCCCCTCCTGTGGCTGTGGTCGTGTTGCACGTTCTTCAGCACATGAACACAATCTGCTGGAGGCGGCGGGGCCTGATGGTGGATGGGGTGAAGACTCAGCTTCTGACATAGATGTAAAGGCTTTGAGAGCTCAGGTGGGCCAGCACATTACTTGGTTCAAATGTCTTGTCACACATGAAAACTCTGGCCCAGGGAGGTAATTTGGCTAAGGCTTGCCTTTGTCCCTTCCAGCTCACTGCTGCGATGGTGGCCTCCACAGGGCCTGTGCCTCTCACCATTCACCATCCCGCCTCTATCCGAGGTATCTGTCGGGCACACACTGAACAGCCATACATGTAGGGTAGCCCAGCAGTTAGAAACAATCAGAACAGCCATTGCTGAAGTAACAGTGCTGGGCCAGTCAGACAATTAATAATAAGAGTCTTCAAAGAAAAAAATCAACTATACCCCAAAAAGATGATGTAGAACGAAAAATCCTAAATTAAAAATGTCCCGGGCGCCTGGGTGGCTCTGTTGGTTAAGCAACTGCCTTTGGTTCAGGTCATGATCCTGGAGTCCCGGGATCAAGTCCCGCATCAGGCTCCCTGCTCGGCGGGGAGTCTGCTCCCTCTGACCCTACCCCCTCTCATGCTCTCTCTCTCTCTCTCTCATTCTCTCTCTCTCAAATAAATAAAAATCTTTAAAAAATAAAAAAAATAAAAAATAAAAAATAAAAATGTCCCTGACGTATTGGAGAGATGTCACCGTTGAGACTCAGATTCCAGACGGTCTGAAAGATCACGTTGGAGGAGTACCTCAGAACACAGACTTACTGATGAAGAGGAGTCACAGGGTAAAGACAGATGAGGAAGCAGACCCAAGAAAAGCAGTCATCTAACAGATAATAGGAAAAAACTTCCCAGAGCTGAAGAAATGTGGAATTTTAAAATTTCTTTTTTTTGTTTCTTTCACTAAATTCTGGATGGGATTAAATGGAAAAGAAATCACGCCTAAGTAAGTCTGTGGATAAAATTATGGAATTCCAGGGGTAAAGAGAAAAAAATCTCAAAATCTTTCTAGATCTGTGCTGCCCTGCAGTGGCCACTTTGTCACATGTAGAAATTGAACACGTGAAACGTGGCGAGTCTGACCTGAGATGTGGCTAAGTGTTAAGTGCATGCTGGGTTCTGAAGATAGTGTGAAAAAAACATTGTAAAGTATGCCAGTGTTATTTTTATGTTGATTACAGGCTGATGTATTTTGGGTATATTGAGTAAAATAAAATGTATTAAGATGAACTTCACCTTATTCTTTTGATCTCTTTTAATGAGGCTAGTAGAGAATTTAGTTAAATGCCTGTTTGTACTGATACAAGACAGGGCTGTTGTAGACCACGTGGTGGGTTAGTCTCCACGAGGAGCAGGACACAGGTAGACACTCGCTGAACAGTGCGTCAACTGAGATGTCACTGGGGATGGAGATTGGTGTTTGTGTCCAGGGCCTGCATCCCCTCTGAGGGAAGTGCTGGAGGCCCTCGTGGTTACCAAGTGGTGGAAGGGAACACATACTTGTAAATGCCCGTGTGAGGACTTCCCGTGAGGGCTCGGGGGAGTGTCTTGAGTGGGCTCAGCCCAAACCTGACTCTCTGGGGCAGGGAGGAGCAAGCCTCTCCTGGGACAGGCGTATAGGGCAGGACCAGGGGAAGTGATTGGAGTAGGTGTCATTGTAATAGTGAGTCTTGGGATAAATAGTCTTCGTTTATCTTGTGTTTTTGTGGAGAGAAAGCCCATGATTGTGAAATGTACTTGTCATGTTTATGAGGCTGCCCTGTATCTGAGTCTTGGTTTAGATCCTCACAAATGAGAGTACTTCTGAGTAAGAGTTCACTTGTAGAAAACCTGGCCTGGTGTTTTGTTCGTGTGAAGAGTGCTTTGGGGACTCAGTGAACTGCTGTGGCCGCGGGAGCGGTGATGACGGCCCTGTTCAAGTGCAGTTTCCTAGTGATGGGGATTCTTGCTCCACCTCACATATGAGAAGTAATCAGTGAAAGTTACTGATTATTTCAGCCTCTCGGAGTGTGTGTTCCGTTGCAAAACATTTCTAGGTTTATTTTGTGAAAATGTACATTTGGGTATTTTGGTCGCTGATTTCTGTTGTTAATCATCTTTCTTTATGTTTCAGGTTTCTCTATGAATCATCATCAAGAACTCTGGGAGCATTTCTGAATTCATAATCAAGCCAACGTCTTTGGTCATGTGAAAACAGAGAAAAAGGACTTAGCGAAAGTGAAATGAATGTGTATTTTCCTAGGGTTTTTAATGTTAGTAACCCATATCATAGGGGATTTATTTGGGGATTTATAAGTAGGAAACTCAAAGGTTCTTAAGCTTTTGCCTGGTGCCTGCATAAATAATATATTTAATATAAAGGACTCTAGGTAGTGGTGCAGTGCAGAAGCCTGTGGTGCAAAGGAAAAAAAGAAGACACTTTTCTAGCAAATGTGGTTGTTTTAAAAATGACTTATATAAAATGTTGCTTAAACTATGAGTAATAAAATTGATGACAACATCTGTTTGTATACTTTATTTAAAAATATTAGTATGAGTCTTCCCCTTTAGAGACAAGGGTTGAATTCTGCCAAAAGTAGAAGGTGCTAAAGCAGAGGGAGTGGCTGTGCCAGGTGCAGGGAAGAGCCTCACGCAGGGTCCTGTAGTTGCCTCCTCTTCTGGTCTTGATGCTTCTTTCCTGGATGTCAAGATGGGCCCGGTGGCTCTAAATGTGGGTGACAGAGAACTGAGTCCTTCAGCCTGAAGGTGAATCACTGTTATATTATCTTTTTTTCTGAGATCTGACGAGGTACCAGCGGAGGACCAGCCCCGGGTTTCCTTGCTGCATCGTCCAAGACCCCAACTTGTCTGCTCTAGGTTTCCAGGTCTGTGTGTCCCTGTCAGCCACAGGCCCTGCGTCGGGTGGAGCCACCGCCTGTGACAGATGGGACATGCTCATTCTGTCCTTTGCCCCCAGCAAAACGGTAAAGAAACACCAATTTCACTGTCTGTTTTTCTAAGAAGGTACAGGAATGGACTGCTTACCACAGGTATGAGCAGTTAGGGTAAGGTTTTTCTGAGATAACTGAGAAATGGGAGGTGGGGGTTGCTTATTTTAGCTAATTTTGAACATAAGACTTTTAGACATCTTTGCTAAGATGTTTTCTGTATTGGCAAATGTGATTTTTTTTTTCTTTTTTGTCCTTGCCGGTGTTTGTTTTAGTATTAAGAAATGAACTGAGGGGCGCCTGGCTGGTCAGTCGGTGGAGTGCACCACTCTTGATCTTGGAGTCGTGAGTTTGGGCCCCATGCTGAGGGTAGAGATTACTTAAAAATAAAATCTTAAAAAAAAAGAGAAAGAAATGAATTGAGGAATGCTCCATCTTTCTATATCCCTGGAAGAGTTTGTGTTAGATTAGAAATAGTTCCTTGGATTTGTTGTAACAATCTGTCTGAGCTTGGTGTTTTCTGTGTGGGAAGAGGTTAATTAGCTTTTTAAATTTATATATGAGTTTTCAGAGTAGTCAGGTTTTCTCTTTTATCTTGTGTCAGTCTTGATGGGGGAAATAATCCAATTTGTGAAAAAACATAATTCAATTTTTATCGGGCCAAAATAGTTCATAAAATCCTTCTGTAGGTATATGCCCTAGAGAAATTCCTGTGAGTGCATGAGGACACTCAGAGCACCTGTGTTTGCAACAGCAGGTCGAAGTAGCTCTGACTCCCTTCAGAGGGAGAGTGGGCAGGGCGGCTGTGGGGTGTGGGGTAACCGTAGCTCCTCCTTCATTAGGGATGACAGGGCAAGGTGGAGGGCACTTCTGGGGCATGATGTTGAGCGAAAAAGCAAGTCACAGAATAATATAGTGTGATTTCATTCTGGGAGGTTTAAAAGCATATGAAACAACGCTGTATTGCTTATGCTCACATAATATATCAATGTACTATTATATTAACATGTATTGATAATATATCAATAAGCAAGGAAAAGATGATAGAATTCAGAACATGGAGTATGGGAGGGAAGGGTGGGAGAGCATGTAAGATTCTTCAGAGGTAACTATAGAAGTAAACTGGAAATAGATATTGGCGTGCTCATTTTACTCTTCATAACCTTACACGTTATAGTCTTTTGTATTCACTGTTTAACAAAACTGTAAACAGAATCAGATATGAGGAAAAGAGAGAAAGCATAGACCTCTTTGGCAAAGGATGTGTTATCAATTTGGAGGCACACAGACACAGATCTCTACACCTGTGAACACCACTAGGCTAGCTCCTGGAAGCACAGAAGTGATGGCCACGCAAGGTGAAGATGCCAGACCACCGAGCAGACCGTGGAAGGAGGCTCAGAGAGGTGCGTGTGCTATAGTGTGGGCACCACAGAAGGTCAGAAAACCCATGGGAGGACACACCGCTCACCGAAGCCGGACGTCCACCCTGGGGACAGGCCCCCAGGGCATGGGCAGGAGTGGCCCAGCAGCAAGAGGGAACGGAAGCCTTAATGTCACGTGTTAACATCTAACAGAAAGCCCTGTGCCACCCATTTACACACAACAAAGGTTTCACACCACAGCCCACGAGCAAAAGCACCCTCCAGGGATGAGGCAGCAAACAACAGAGACCACATGACGTGACTAAATTGGTTGGTGTCCCCACCTCATCAGACACCCAGGGCTAGCTTGGTGGCATGAAAACTAGCCCCAGGGCAGGGAAGGGGGCTCCGCTCCCACTTGATGAGGCCTGTGCAGTGCTGCCACCACCCAGCGGCCCTTGTTATGGTCCCTTATTGCAGGACCGTCTCTCTGGCAGACTAGTCGGCCCTTTGCTAACTGCAGATCCATGAGGAAAGGTGATGGTTCTCTAAAAACTGCCCTAACACAAAACATTTAAACTATAAACCATTTCTAAGGTGAGAACTATTTCTCGAGGTAACCCTCAGAATTGAACAACAAGAAACTAGGAAGACGTGGCTGTACCACCTTGCTGATTTTGAAAATATTCACCATAATATATAGTGAACGCCACCCTTAGAACCACTGATGGCTAACTCTTCTGCCTTTGTCCTTTGAAAAAGAAGTGACAGGGGCGCCTGGGTGGCTCAGTCGTTAAGCGTCTGCCTTCGGCTCAGGTCGTGATCCCGGGGTCCTGGGATCGAGCCCCTGCATCGGGCTCCCTGCTCCGCGGGAGCCTGCTTCTCCCTCTCCCACTCCCCCTGCTTGTGTTCCTTCTCTCGCTATGTCTCTCTCTGTCAAATAAATAAATAAAAAATCTTTAAAAAAAAAAAAAAAAGTGACAGTGCACATGCCCTGACCTGGGACAGTGGGTCACACCAAGTGTCAGAAGTGACAGTGCACATGCCCTGACCTGGGACAGTGGGTCACACCAAGTGTCAGAAGTGACAGTGCACATGCCCTGACCTGGGACAGTGGGTCACACCAAGTGTCAGAGTGGGGTGAAGGCCTCATTCTGTGCTCCTGGAGCAGAGTGGCTGTGAGGGGTGAGCACACCCGTAAAGGGGTCCGGGAGTGGGATGCCTGGCTGGCTCAGTCGGTTAAGTGTCCCAACTCGATCTCAGCTGAGGTCTTGACCTCAGGGTTGTGAGTTCAAACCTCACGTTGGGCTCTGCACTGGACGTGGAGTCTAAGTTTAAAAAAAAATAGTGTCCAGGAGCACATGCTGAAGGCTCCGTGGCCGCCCCTCTCAGGCCCACGTTCTCACGGACGTTCTGGTATCTTTTATAGCTGACTCGTGACTGAACCTCACTTTTTTCTAAAATAAAGGGCATTTCTGAAGGATTAATTTCAGCAGAGGTGTCTTTTTTTCTTTTTTAAAGATTTTATTTATTTTTTATTTTTTTAAAGATTTTATTATTTGAGAGAGAAAGAATGAGAGACAGAGCACATGAGAGGGAGGAGGATCAGAGGGAGAAGCAGACTCCCTGCCGAGCAGGGAGCCCGATGCGGGACCCGATCCCAGGACCCTGGGATCATGACCTGAGCCGAAGACAGACACTTAACCACTGAGCCACCCAGGTGCCCCTCAGCAGAGGTATCTTAATTCACCTGCTAACATGTTATATTATGTGGCTTTTCTGTCATGTGGCAGCCATTTTTTGTGTTTTTCCAGGAAGGGGAAATTTCCTGATTTACATTTCTCTAGATTCCTGGCACCAGCATCTGACAGGGAGTCCTGTGTCCCTTGGGGACATCTCTTCAGCCTCTCTCACTCATGGCACATGAAGCTCTTCCCACTGGTGACACAGCGAAGAGAACAAATGTGAATAAGCAGCCCAAATGTATTTGAAATGCTCATGCAGAACAGTTTCAAAAGGGTTCTGGATCTCCTGCCCGGAAGACAGACAGATGGGTGGGGAAAATGTGTACAAAGGGCAGACATGAGTCAGGCTCCAATTCTTGCCCATAAATCAACTCTCCCAGTAGAATGGACTCTCGCACCATGACCTCTCCAGGTTCAGCTACGGCAGTCTTTACCCCAGCTCCATGGTCACCCCTACTGAGTATTGGAGACCACATGGTGTGCTGACCCCATGTGTCATGGCCACCAGAAAGAGCCTCCATGACTCTCTACCCTCATCCAGCCCTTCCACTCCTTGGATGGGGCCCACAGGGTGAAGAGTTTCCTCTAGTTATGAGGTACGTGGTGGCAATGCCAATTTGGCCCCGTCTGGAATCTGGTAGATGGGGTTCTGGTCTAGTCTGGTTGCAGGGTTGATGATCATGCACCAAACACATTTATCTGCACAACAGCCCATACTGATCACCCTCCATGTGAACTTACACTCATTTAAGTGGTAGGTCTTGCTTTCCTTGTAGAAAAGAAATGAGTTTTCAGAGATAATAGCTCCCATTCAAATACATCTCTGTCTTGCTGAAAGACCACTATTGATAAGTTTCTAGGGTAGATCATTTTACAAAATAAAAGTAAGTTTCTGGGATAAACAGCATGTGGATTCATGCTCACTGAGGGGCCTTGTGATAGTCTGGGTAATGGCTCACAAACTATTTGTTATAATCCCTGGAACCTGTCAGTGTTGCCTTATACAGCAAAACATTTTTGCAGATGTGATGAAGTTTAGGATCTTGAGTTGGGGAAGGTTATTCTGGTTAATCCGGTGGGCCCTGATGCCACCCTAAAGGTCCTTTCAGGGAGCCAGGGGCAGACTTGTCACATGCACGGAAGGCAGAATGACCACAGAGGCCGAGACTGGAGGGGTGTGGCCACAAGCCAAGGGCTGCAGACAGCCACCAGAAGCTGGAAAAGGC